AATATTAATGGGAAATAATGTACCAATTGATTATCGTGGAAAATATTATTTGAAAACGAATTCACAACCAACATTTGCTTTAGGAAAATCGTGATAGAATACGAATATTGTACTGTTATATAAGATAAATTGCAAATAGAACAGAATTTAACTACATTAAATAAAGCATTTTATTATTTTTCTAACATATTATAGATAAAAAAAGTTTGTACAATTAATATTAACAATTTGTTCAACAGGACCATTCTTATTTTATTATGAAATCTCTTCTTTGCAGACAAAATTTAAGAATTTTTGAAATGCAATGTTGCCCTGTACAATTTTATGATACAAAATTGATGGCATCAAAGAAAATTACATCAAAAATTTAAATGAACCTGATAGATGAACAAACTTCAATTCATAAATTAAATTTTATTTTTCAAACTTTGGAAATGAATTCAAATTTGATTCTGGGAATTGATAAATTAATATTGCGAAAAAGAAGTCAAAATAAATTTCTTGAATATGAAACTTTTTGAACTTCAAACATAAACGTTCGAACTCATAAATTGGAATCAACAATCACTAGCAATTAACTTCGTAAGACCAAATTTCTTACATATATTTTTTAATGAATAATTTTTATCCGTTTTCGTGTCTTCAAAGGAAATGAAGAGTACATATGTACATAATAAGTATGAGTTTCCTGCGTATACCAAGCAGTTGAACGACATTACATTTTAAGTAAAAGTAAATAGCACGTACAAGAAACCTAAAGTTCTTTTTTTTAAATATAAGACAGTTTGTGTTAAACAAAATCATAAATCAATTCTAAATTTAAATTTCTTTCAAATTTTTCTTCGTTTACATCAACACTAATTTGACTTTATATGACACCGAAACCCTAAATCATCTTATTAAGTATGATAGGTATTCTTGAAATTCATAAGGTATTTGTGTGTATAAAATTGCGTACAAGTGTCTCATGTTTGATTTACGAGTAATAATGACTTGAGCGGAAAATGTTAAAGATTCAAATTAAATTTGTGTAAATTGCAATAATGACCAATAATTATAATTACCTTGAACCACCATTATATTCCCTTAATAACTATTGTTCTCATTGAACAAAATGAACAGTTCATTCAAGACGTAGTTAAACCTTAAAGTTTAAGGTGGTGGGAGGGTGCAGATATACTCGTTTTCGAGCTACAGCCTGTTGAAACAAAAAGATACCGGACTTTTCCTGCATATAAATAAATGCTTATAAATTCGGAACCATACAACATAGGGTTATTATTGGTTCAGCTTGTTTTACAGACAATTGATTGTTTTTTATTTTTGGTCTTTAAATTAGTTTGATTTGAGCCGTACTTCTTAAGGTTACAAAACTCGAAATTTCTCGAAAATGTTTGTTATTTTTTTTGTTTTTTTTTTTTTTTTTCGATGCGCTACGATGAGATCTAAAAGTTAACCAATATACAGCAGCAACTTATAAACGTAAAATTTGTTTAATTATAACTTCACAATTATTATCAAATTTGAATGTCAAGTTAAGATAAAAATAAATAAAATCCAAAAATAGACTTTTCCTTATTTAAAATGTTATTCTTACATTTCCTTTGGAGAATTTTAATATGCATCTGGAGTTTATTATAATACGGAATGCAACATCTCATAATTGACTGATGAACAAGATTTTTGTTGTAATATGATCTTTGTTGTTTTCAGAGTTTTTTATAAATGATTTTTGGTTAAAAATACAGACATGGAAATTTTAAAATTTCCATGAGAATTTTTTAAATGTGAAGTTATTTTAAGAAGCAAAGCACCTTTGTAAGGCACTGGAGAAAAAATAATTAATAATTGAAATTTTCAATTTCAATCGGCTAAAGTGAATTTGAGTAAGTTCTCAATAATTAAAATTAACACGATTACTCGTTATATTTCCCGCTATTGTTTTCTATTTAAGAATTAAGTTCTTTTAAAATTCGTACAATAAGGTAACAATCTTGTAACAAAATAATTACGTTACCCAAGTTTTGTTGCTGTTGACCTATACAATTCGCTTTCGGTAAAAATATGAAAATTTCTTAAAGATGACTAGATATCCACCTGATTATATGACCATGACTGTAATATATCGTAATAAATGAAAATTAAAATAAAATTTTTTTAAAAGGTAAGTTCAAAAATGTCTTGTCAACATCTGAAATGACAATTAAATTTAATTTGGAATTAAATTAGAGGTTTTTAATATTCCAGTTTTAATGAGCGTAAAAAAATTGTGTTGTTTTTTTAGTGCCTTTTTTTTTTACAAAGAAGGGGGAAAAATCGGATTTAACACTAATCGAAATGTAAACAAAAATAAAATTTTCTATGAAATTAAACTATAAATATTTTTTGAAAATATTAATTTGAAAAAATCCATTCGGTCACATAAATTTTAAAATGTAAAACAATATAATTGAATTTTTTTTATTTATTCTGGGTCGTAAAATAATTATGACAAAAATAATGGGGAAAATTATTAAGTTGTATTTTTATATAGATTTTATATAGATTCTAAATCTGAACAGTTGATAAGAACAGAACTCAATTTATAGTGTATAAAGGGGTAAAATTTTTCCTTTGATTCTGTTGAATCTATTGGTTCTATTGAATTTGATATAAAAAAATTTTGTTTTTCGGTATTAACAAATTCAAGCCATGGGCATGGTAAATATTTTGATTCACTTTATAGATTTCTTATTATTTACAATTTATTTAGATGTGTATATAATTATAGAATTAAAAAATATAGAAGATATAAAATAGAAGATATCAAAAAGCAAAAATTTCATATAGAATCATGGGTTTTACGATTTTATCAATTTAAAAATATTGTAAAAGTTTCGAGTTACGAAAAATTTTCATATTATACACATACAAGTACACACCCGTGTATAACAGTTTTATGAATACATTTATATACATAAATAAATATATATACAATATAATATATGCCAGAATGTCATTTAATCGATAATTTACTTAAGTAGTTCCTATGAATTTCCCAGAATCTCCTCATCTAGTTAAATAGTACCATCGCCCCTAAAACACTACTTAGCTGGCTGCAAATTCTTTTGTTATACACAAACCCAATGTTTACTCGGTGTATACACAATTTTTTTCTTTTTCGAAAATTCTATACCATATTAACCAATAATAGTGCCACCCTTACATAGCAAAGTTGTCTCGTTCAGGCGAGTAAAACATATTATTATAAAATTACTCGATTGTCAAACTGTTACAATATAATAATAAGATTTTTACCTTATCAATTCGTGTATTAATTAAAAAATTGTGAAATGACTTTATACTAATAACTACTTTTTATGATTCAAATACAAACCAATTTGATTTTAATGACAAAATCCAATAGCTTAATGAAACTAAAGCCTGATTGATTCTTTGATGCCATGCAACAGCCCTGTATCATTCCAAGGAGTGAAAAAATGGAAAAACCAAAAATAAACGCTTTCATTAACAAATATTAGACTTTTCGCAAATATTAAAATTTAAAATACACTATCTAAATGCGACCTAATCTTTAATAGGTTTTAATTTAAATGAGACCAATGAGTTCATATACAGGAAGTTTCACATGACAAATAACTTCAGAAATGATTCATTGGTCAATTTCCTGAAAAAAATTGTACGGGAAGGGTTAGGAGACGAGGGAAGACGGGGGGAGGTTGCCGATATGCTCATTTTCGAGATACACTTTGTTAGCGACATAGAATAACTATAAGGGGCTTCTTACACAGGCAACCAATTGTTCTTTATTTCTGCTCGTACAATCAATTTGATCTAGTATTCCATACAGAAATTGTCAAAATCAGAATTTTTATTTTTTTTTGAAATTTTTTTTTAAAACACTGGAAATTTTTTGAAAATTTGTGTTATTTTTTTTTGTTTTTTTATTTTTATCGATGCGCTACAATAAGATCTAAAAGTTAACACATTTAACATTTTCTTCTATCTATCATATAGTTTTGCTAGTAAAACATATTTCATACATATTTCATACATTTGCATTTTTCGCATGCTTTTCAAACACATTTAACATGTTTTATTTGTCACCTTACACGAAACACCCTGTATAGTGTACATCATCTTTGGTTCATTAAATTTCCAATTAAAAGATTTTATTCCATTTCCATTGAATCCAAATTTTTTTAATAAAATTTTTTTCATAGATCTTACCCAAGAAAGGAACCTCTTCTCCTAAATATATGCAATTTATTTTTACTATTCTAAAATTTTTCATTGTTTCTTTTTATGTTGGGTTTATCACAATATTTAGTTAGGAGGGAAAAATAAAATTATTACCTAATCGAAAGCACAATTTATTTTTCTTATAGCAAAAATCAACTTAAATCAATTAATTACGCTTATACACAATTATTATTTTGTATAACACAAATATTAAGAAAGTAATTATTACATGTTATGTAGGTATGGGATACCACAATTAGATTGACTTATAATTTTTTCAATTATTACGATTTCAGTAGTGTAAACAAATAAATAAATTGAGAACGGGGTCTACTAAAAAAAAAATAATTTGGCCCATGGGAGGATCGAACTCACGACCTTCGCGTTATTAGCACGACGCTCTAACCAACTGAGCTAATGGGCCATGTTCTTTAGCAACAAAATCTCTTAAAATAATAACAAAAGCTTTCATATTGAATATTTTTAAAATTTAATTTATGTGCTCATATTAAAAAGTAAACAAAAGCTTTTAAATAATAATATTAAATAAATTACATACATACATACATACATATATATATATGCATTTAATATAATGCACCTGTTTGCAATTTATATTGATTTATAAAAAATTATTTACATACATACTGTAAGCGTGATAATACGAGTATTATGCCCCGATATCCAGTTCGATTTTAAATAAGAGAACAATTGCGCGAGAACAACAACAAAAATTTAATACAACTTTTATTTTTCGCTGAATATTTCAAAATATTTTTATTTATTTTAAATTCATTGTCTTTTTAATCCAATCTAAATATGATGTTAATCGAATATAAGTACCAGGAGATTTAGTATCACCACAATATCCTTGAGCATAAGCAATTCCAATAACAATATTTTGATCATTAGAGTCTTTAATAACTAGAGGACCACCTTGATCACCAAAACAAAATGATTTACCTTCAGCACTACTTGCACATAAGAATGTATTATCAAAAAAGTATGGATAACTTTTTTCGCAAATGTCTGATGACACTATCGGTATTTCAATGTATCGTAAAAATTTTGATGTATCAGCATGTCTTGTTAATGGTACACCAAAACCAGTTAAAGTTGCATATTTACCTTGTAAATTTTCTTGTGTTAATGTTAAATCGGTAAGAATTGCTGGTTTAATAAAATCTAATTGAAAATAAGGAAAAAATGACATTCTGTTATTGCAAACAAAACAAAATTTTAGTAGTCACTTACCAGAAAATTTCAAATTTTGATTGATTTTAACTAAACCTAATTTTCCATTAGGGGATAATATGAAATCAGTTTCAGGATCAATTGAAAGTCGAACAATATTTTCTGAAGCATCACTTATGTTTGTAATGCCCAAATAAGCTTTTCGGGGATTTCTAAAATAAAAAATTATAAAAATTATTGTTAGTTATTAGAGAATAAATGTACCAAAACTTGAGTAATGTGCTAAAATTTGAGGCAGTCTTAAATAGAATCGAATTAAATTTAAGGTTTTTATACCCGTACGAACGTATGTTCGCAGCCTATACTACACTTGTCTTACCGTTTGTAACGCTAAGAAATAAGCGTCTAAGATATAGACTTAAGTGTATGTTTTTGAACAGGATCGAATTTTGAGTCGATTTAGCTTTGTCTGTCCGTTTGTTCGTCCGTTCGTCCATTCGTCCATCCGTCCGCTCCAACGATAACTCAAAAACTAATTGAGCTAAGTTCACCAAATTTTCACAAATTATTTATTATAGTAAATGCCAGAATTTAGAATTGTGTTAGGGTAAATGCAAGAACCCTAACACAAATGATTTATTATAGAAATGCCATACATATATCTCAGAAACTATAACAGCTGTCGTATTTAAATTTTACACAAGCGAATATATTAGTAAGGCCAATGCTTTTGATAAAAGTCGTTGAAATTGCTTGGCCCTTTCTGGTAGCAGCCATACAGCAATAATAGTTTGACCATATCTTAGAAAACATTGAAAACATAGTACTGAAATTACGGCAAGTTATGCTAAAGTCATAGTCTTTCTCATAGTCATCTATGACATATATATTTATTCACGCAGAGTTGACACCGTCAACTTTATTTTGGCTCGTTTTTTATTGGAACAGTGATAATATCTATATAATTATAATTATACTTCTTCGAATTGAATGAAATTTTACTGATTAAATTAACTGATTAAAGCCTACCCAATTTCCAAACAATCACCAGCAGTTAAAATATAATTTTCAGATAACAAAACTCCACCACACCAATTATAACCGTAATCATCATCAATTTTAAATAGTACATGATATGGAAATTGACCAGGTTCAGCAATATCACCATATGCAATTCTTGGTGAAATCGAATTCGAAAGAGTTATTCGAATTGTAGCTTGTATTAAAAAATATGTTAACAAAAATTTCATGTTTAATGATTGCTTAATTATTTCAAACTGAATTTAAATTTTTATAATAATAATTTTTTTTTAAAGATATTGAAATTTTGAAGAGGCACAATGATTATTGATAAGATAAAACTGTATCGAATTGATGAGCCAAAATATAACATATTATCTTAATCCATATACATATAATACAGGCGTATGTATGTATATAATTGTGAATATATTTATTTAGTAACCTTGATTCGAGTGGTTTTTGAAGAAGTAAAATTGTATGAAATTTTGAATATTTATTTTTAAATAGGTTAAATATTCTTCATAGCTTTCATTGTCATTGTAGAATCTTTTTGTTAGGCGATTTATATACGTTCAGCAAACATGATCGAATTAAAATTAGTCTATTACTAATAAATTTTATTACAACGCTTAGGCTTCTTACAAAATGTTAGTATAAACCTGCTTAAAATCTAGTTTAATTAATTTTAATAGTAAGATTATAAAGAATGTTGTCAAAACAATCAAACAGATAGAGTTGCAGCGAAACAAATAGAGCGAATTACTATAATTCATTTATCGTTTGAAAAAAAATTGATATTCTCGTTGTATGTATATATGCTTTTTCATCTGAGAACTATTGCATTCTTAAGCTTTTAGCATTAATATGATGTTCATATAGTTGAAGCATAGTTATTTTGAACCCTTAATATTCAAAATGCTGTATAAATTTCAAGTCCAAAGACACTTGCCTTTGTATTTTTTTGCCAATACCAAAAAATCTGATGTGGTCAACGAAGATGTTACAAAAAATTATTAAAAAGCGTTTTAAACACTTCTTTACAATTTTAAGGACACTAGTAAGCTTTTAGTTAACATACCCTGAAAAATTGAATTTGTCACTTGTCACTGATTTGTGCCATTACAATTAACTGGAAAGTTCGCCAGTTAGTTTCGTTAACAATCGGAACTCAAAAATAAAATTCCAAGAAATTTCGTCAATTAGTTCCTTTGATATGAAAAAAAATGTGAAATCGTCGCCTAGTTCGGATCCGAGGCCTGATCTTTCCAAAAGTTTATAGATTCAAGCATTCCACTCTTATTATTCTAGTATTTTAGCTTACAATCTATAAAGATTTACAAAAAATGTGTATGTTTTATTTTTCAATTATGTAACTTAAAAGTTTATAAGTGTTAGCTTTTTTCTTAGAAACTAAAATTTTGGGTTTTTCAAATTTAATGACGTTTGTTGAGAAATTTTTTCCCTTCTTATTGAAAATATGGTAAATCAGTAAAACTTAAGAAAAAAAAATCAGTCCACAATGAATGAATGAATGTGCCTTATTCCGGGGTTTTCTCAATTTAAAAATAAGAATATTGTATCTGGTGATTTTCTCTTACTCATAACTCAAAATAAAAAAGTAAAGATAATGCATGTTCAAAAGTACAAGTACATTGTTCGTAAAATGAGCCCCAATGGAAAATATTATCAAAACAGAAACATTTTGTTTATTTGTAATTCTTTGTTGTCATTTTCGATCTTGAATATGCTAGCGATATGGTGACTGTGTTGTTAAAACATAAAATAAATAGAATAATCACATTAAATTGCCAATTAATTATGGAATACATGCTTTTTGATTGGGTAATTTCTAATTATTTTGAAAATATTAATTTGAATTTTATGTGAACAGCTTATTTTCTATGTACAATGCTGAGTTCAAATAAAACCATACTATTAAGCAGAATACAGAATTCTGAAGGTTAATAGGTTCTTAAGTAAACTTTGTAGAGTAAAACTTCGTGCAAAAGCTTTAAGTGAAATTTAAAGATGCGCTAACACAAGAAAAAAGATGTGACCAGCCCATAATAACCGACGACAAAATATGTTTTCTAGTTTAACGTAACTAGATCTTGTGCAACACAATATCTTTTAAGCATTTTTTCAAATTTGTTTAGAAATTTTGTTGTTAGAAAAAGTTGATTTTCTTGGACACGGGTTTGTTCCAGAAAATCAGCTTCTTAAGAAGGTAATGAGTTAGTTTCGTTAACAAACAAAACTAAATTCAAATTCCAATGAGAATTTGTTTCCTCAGAAACAGAAATCAAAATTTGATCACCGAACCGACGCGAATTTTATGTTTGAACCACAATTGAAATTGAAACTTCAAAAAATTTTGTTATAAAGTTATACTTGTAGTGATTCATTAACATATATACCAGCGTATATAACATATATAACATATATAGGATTTTTCGCCTTATATCAAACTTATTTGTCGTGTTTATTTTTTTACATTTTCCATTATTGTAACAAAATCTGTTGTCACAATTATGCTAAGGATTGCTGTACAAATTTCGTTGCGTAATGAATGGGCCAACTTAAAATGGTGGCATATGGCAACACTAATTTGTCTGTCTTTTATAATACCTCTATAACCTGTTGTATTGTTATATTTTATGTTTTACTTTTGATTGATACTTTATTTACAAACAATTTTAAATAAAAATGACAGATAGCATGATTTTTTAAAAGCTTTTATAAATTCTGACAAAAAAAAATTTATATGAAGAGTAAATGTGTAATTGTTGATAATTCTAAAGATTCTCTATAATTGCTTTCTTATTATTGACAAACAAAGTTATTAGATTTTTTGTGCTCAGTAAATTTGTTATTTAATTTATAATGTAGGAAAAATGAGGTTTTAAAAAACTTCGCCCCTACTTGATTCCGAATTCTGGATTCTGTAAAGGCTTGATTTAAATATAGCTACAGTTCACCTATCTGTGTGTTGGTGAACGTATTTCATTCATTCTTATTATGTGATAATTTCAAGTTTAACATGACTATTTAATTGGAATCGGACCAATTTTATGAGGCAAAGCTATTTTCAAAGAGAATGAAAACGGATCAATATTGGAATACCTGCCTTTTCCTAAAACAATGCGAAAAACTGGAAAAATACAATCGTAAACGAAATTGTTCCAAGTATTCGGAAAATTACGACACCTTTCATAGACTGTATAACATTAACGAGAATGAACGTAATTAATTTAAAACGACATTATCTATACCGAATCAGGTTGTACTCGCACCATACATTATATTATATCGTAATTATTAATTTCCAAGAATGCTATAGTTATAATAGGGTTTCCAATTCATTTTACATAAAACTTCTAAAGCATTGCAGTTCTAACTTTAAAACCTGAAATATCAAACAGCTTCAATATATTAAGCTTGAAGATGCAAACTGTTTTCAGCAGACAAATATATGGAATCGTGTTTAAAATCTTATAATTGTCTTGTGCAACTTTTTCTTTCCTAGTGTCTCTCTATTACTCCCTTCCAAAACTTTTTTCAGAAAAATAAATGTCCAAGAATGTGAGTAATATTATTTTAAAAGGGGAAATTTTTCTAAAGAACATAGTTGTAATCAGTAAGATTAAAACTAATCATTGATCTTTACTGTAACATTATGAGTTTTTCGTTATAAATAAAATTGAACTTTTGCCATTTTGTTCAGTGCGAAATAAGAAAATCAAGTGAAAAATTATGTTAATCTACAAAATATTTTTACTTACAATATTACACGCTGTTTACAGCGAAAATATTAATTGTGTTAATTTAAATGATTTCTATAATTATAACCAATCAGTTACAATTGATGGTGGTTAGTATATGAAATAAATTATTAGGTGTACCATTTAAAACTAAATTGTATTAATTATGCATTTCTTATGTTATTAATCAAGATCCAATTCCAACAATATCATACGTAAGTCGAACAGATTGGATTGCACAACCTCCAAATGATGAATTAGTAGATTTAATATTACCAGTACATCGAATTATTATAGCTCATACAGCAACAGAACCATGTACAACACTAGTAAGTTATGAATTTTTACATGTTCTTAACAAAATACCTGATAAATATAATTAAAAGAAATTAATGAAAATCTATTTAATTAGGCACAGTGCGTATTTAGAACACGAGATATTCAAACATTTCATATAGAAGCACGAGGATTTGATGATATAGCATATAATTTTTTGATTGGTGGGGACGGTTTAATATACATTGGCCGTGGATGGAATAAAATAGGAGTTACTACCAAAGGTTTTAATAATGACAGTTTATCTATAGGTTTGATTGGATCATTCTCTTCAGTTGCGCCACCTGAAATTCAAATAAATGCTGTTAAATTTCTTATAAGAGAAGGTTTAAAAACTGGTAAAATTTCGTATGATTTTAAATTGTATGGTCAAAATCAATTAATTAATACAACAAGTCCTGGTGAAAAATTAATAAAAATAATTAAAACATGGCCAAATTTTGTTACTGATGTTAATTCAGGTTCGCAAAATGTTACATTTTGCAAAACTCAAAGTCAACAAGGTATGTAGCAATCATCTTTTAATTTAAGATTTTACATAAATTTTAGAATATCGGTATGATTCAATAATGGATCGTTGACAGCTTCCAACTTGAAAAACACAAAAATTGATTTCAATTTTGGATATTGTAATTTTAGATTCTTCATTTAAACTTATAACTAGAAAAAATTGGTTGGCTCAACCACCATCTTCTCTACTTAGTGATTTAGTTCATCCAACTAAATATGTGATAATCTCTCAAACAGCAACTGATACTTGCGATACTCAGGTAAAATCAAAATTATTTGTGATTTTGTTTCAATTTCAAAAATAGTAAATTTTTTTTTAGTCTGAGTGTATATTTCGAGTTCGTTTGATTCAAGCACTTCATATGGAATCTAGATGGTATGATGATATTTCTTATAATTTTCTAATTGGTGGTGATGGATCAGTTTATGAAGGTCGCGGGTGGGACAAAGTTGGTGTTCATACAAGAGGTTATAATCAAATAAGCATCGGTATTGCATTCATCGGCAATTTTAATGAAATCGAACCTAATAAAAATCAATTAGAAGCAGCTAAATTATTGATTGATGAAGGTGTTCGTAAAGGCAAATTAAGTTCCGATTATATTTTAAAAGGTCAAAAACAATTCGCAGCAACAGAAAGTCCTGGATTAGCTTTATTGAATATTATAAAAACTTGGCAGCATTACTGTGATGATGGTAAGTAATTAAAATTTTATTTTTATACACTGTTAAAGATTAACACACTTATAGAACTATTCTTTTTTTTTGCCAGATAATTGCGACTATTCCTCTAACAAGACGCCAAAATATATATCTCGATTAATGTGGAATGCACAAGAACCAACCGACTTATTAGATAATCTTACATTACCTGTTCATAAAGTTATTATAGCACATACTGCAACAAAATCATGTGATGAACAAGTATGATAACGTAAATTCGATATTTTTTCTCTTAAACTAAATAAAATTTTCAAAAATTTTTAGACTAAATGCATACAACTTGTTAAATCTATTCAAAATTATCACATAAATTCAAAAAATTTTCATGATATAGCGTACAATTTTTTAATAGATAGTAATGGTTTTGTATATGAAGGCCGTGGTTGGAATATTGCTGGTGCACATACAAGGGGTTTCAATGAGGAAAGCATAGGTATAGCTTTAATTGGAACTTTTACAAAAAATACACCAACAGCAAATCAATTAAATGCAACCAAATTATTAATAAATGAAGGTGTGAAATTAGGAAAATTAAGTTCTAATTATGTTTTATACGGTCATAGACAATTAGTACCAACTGAAAGTCCAGGAAATAATTTATTCAATGAAATTTCAACCTGGCCAAATTTTGTGACAAATTTTAATCCTAAAGGAGAAAAAATAACATAAAATCTATGGAAGAAGTTGAGTAATTTAATAAAAATTAAAATAAATAGAAAAAATTTAAGCGTTTAAGAAAATTAATGAATAAGTTTACCGATTCCTGTTAACGTATTTAGCAACTAATAGCAATATTTACCTAAATGAATAGGTACAACTTCCTTTAAAATCAACAAGATGCTTGTGACCTTAACAATTTAATTTCGCATTTTTCAATTAATTTTACTCCGATTTATGGCAATAAGTGCATTTGAGTAAGTAAAATCAATCGTTCTCTATCACCTCACTTAAGTTCTTAAGTCTGATCTTTTGATCTTAAGTTTGCTTAAGCTTTAGAGCTTTTTAATATAAATGGCAAGCGCAAAATTAATTAGTAATTTTTCGCCAAGATATGCATTTGATGCTATTGAATAGAACCATTCAAATTAAAAACGAGATGGTTCTTATGCAGAGAAAATATTGTAAATAGAAAAATTTCTGAGAATTCATTTTTAATGGGAAAATATTCCTTTTGCACTATAAAAGTGTGCAATGGGAAAACCAAAATGAAAGAATTTTATTTTTTTCATTTTGTTTTTAACCATCAAAGTAGAATTGAAATGAAATTTTCATAAAAATGAAAACTGAGCAGCAGGTGGTTTTTATTTTGCAGCAATACAGAAAACTTTTTTTTGTTTTAATTTTATTTTTATTATTATTGCTTTTATTTTCTCATTTCTATTCATATTCCTTACCTTACATCTCTCATACTTTTGTTTTTGCCTGGTTACTAGGATTTCTTTTAGTTGAGCTTGAGAAGTTGGCAATATGCAGTATGGCAATTGTATGCCATTTTATCTTTTGTTCTATTTGAACTTCTGAAAGGGTCTGCTCAAAAATATTAGATTAAACAATAGTTGTTATTGGTGGCCGGAGAAATGTAAAAAAAAAAATTTTTTTACTTTTATTATAAGCAAAAGGAAAAATTGTTTTTGAACATTTGGTAATTTGAATGAAAATTTCACCACATAATATTGTAAACGCTCTGTCAGATTATGGTAGCACAAAATGAATATGTAAAAATTCTCTTAATAATTAATAGACGATTAACAAAGGTACAGCAGCATGTTCAGAGTAATTATTGTGGTTAAATAATTCTGGATATAGCCTTCACTTTGTTTTTTTGTATTCACAAAATTTGCAAATGTCGGTATAAAAACAAAATTTAATTGAAAGCATTTTCTAACGAAATCAAAATTTTAGTATTTGTTTTCACTCACATATTTTCACTTTTTGAAATTTTTGTTGCACTAACTCTAATAATTCAAATTATTAACACTAGATCATAGAATATTAAACAAGTAAAAAAATTTCAGTCGGTATAAACCGGCCAAATTATACGAGTACCCTTCACCTAGACACTCAGACTAAAAATTTATTTATGAAATATTTAGAATTAGCTTTCATTGTTGTATGCCAATTACACGAACCTGTTAACATGACGTCCAAGTTTAATGAACGGGACTTTATTAATTTTTTAAATATTTATAATTAGCTTTTGGAGTTGTATGGCAGCTACCCGAACCTATTGTCCGAATTGACCCAATTACAACAGCAGCCATCCTTGACAGAAAAGAAACAACCTGTGGAAGTTTGATATCGATTTCATTATTTGTTTTTGAATTATCGTGCGACCGGATGGACGAACGGACGGACGGACATGGCTAAATCAACGCAGAATTTTATGCTTAGCAATAATATATATGCATGTTCATACCGGAGACGACTTCTTCAAGTGGTTACAAACTCCATACCAAAGTGAATATACCCTTCACGAAGGTGCAGGGTATAAAAATGACAGATTTGACTTTTTTAAGCCAGCAAAAGAAACGAGAAAAAATAGAATTGATTGTGTCAAGTCCCGGGTACCAGTACGAACTTGTTATTCGATGGGTGAACAAATATGCAATAGCTAACTATCGTTCAAACTATATGGCTTTATAATTACACCATGGTTTTCTTTTACAAGAAATGAAATAAATTATCAGAATTCGACAATGAGTAAGAAACTATTGTTTTAAAACTAAAGTATTTTACGCTTTTCTTGTTATATTGAAAATGAAATTATTTTATTATTATTAGAAATGTATACATACTACTAAACATGTGTGAAATTGAAATTTTTCAACTAAGAATTTTTCACCATACTGCTAATATTTTGCAAGCTAATGTATATTATGCATATCTACATCTCAGACCATTATTTCTTAGCTTTACAAACAGTAAGGCAAATCTATAAAATCTCTTCGAACATACTTTTGCACAGGTATAAAAATTGTTTCTTATTACGAGTATTGGAGAAAGCTGCACAAACCCATTACTGTTATTGAAACTTCTACTAAACTTCTACTTTCATTCAAAAATTCATAATTATTTTCAAATTTTTATGTTATTGTTATTCCAATATAAAATCAAATAATTTTTTCAAAATAATAGAATGAATGCACTACGTAAACATTTAATTTTATTTGCCTTGAATTTTAATACTTCTCCTAAATGTATGCAATTAATTATGAATAAAATTTAATACAGTATACATAATATTATTTTGCATAGTAATAACATTATTTTCACCATAACTTAAAGGTGTGGTGAAGAAATGCAATAATATCAATGGTAATTTATTATAGCTGTTAATTGTGTTATATAGAATTAATTTTTGAGGGGCACTTGTGAATATTAGGTATTGAGTTAAGAGCTACTTAAAAAAATAGTTGTATTGTGCATTAAATTATCTTCTGTATACCAGTAGAATTTATTTCATTCTTTATAGTAGAACTTATCAAATGTCGAATAGGAAAATTCGGATAAAATTTTCATATTTCTGAACTTAATCCTAATTCGAACAGAATCCTAAATTTTATGTCAAACTTAAGACATTACAAATTTATCTGCACCGTTTAATGAAACCAGATAAGTCTTAGAGAAGATCTTTAAATAAAAATTTAAATTTAATAATTTTTGTGTTCATTTTTAAAATGCTCTCATAATTATTAACATAAATATTTTGTAAATGACAACAAAACAATATTATATTCAATTTTTCAACTCATTATTTAATTTCAGAATTATATTGTATACTTTAATAGCTTTATAGTGTAATTGAGCTCTCTATTTAATTCATAAGTACTTCAATTTAAAAAAAAGAAAACCCTTAAATGAAAATTTTAGCTTTAAAATATCTTTGGTTACACATTTTGTTGTTATCTTTATGTTTATGTTGTTGTTGTATATTATTTTGTAACCATTATCCTTTCTCTCGAATATTATAAATATATATGTATTAGTCAGGGTTGCCATAAATTGAATTTTAAAAAATGGTACAAGGAAATTTAAAATCATGGTACCACAGACTATGCAGCAATTGAGTACTCTGAAACAAGTCTTTTATGGTTTGTAATGCTCTTTCATTTGCGACCAATATCTAAACATAAAAGTGTTCTTAAATATTTGAAAATGATAATGCTAAAACTAAATTAGAACTTCATCATAAATTATTTGTTATTGCTAAATTTTGCATCTTCAATATCTCTAAACCGATAATTGTTGTATGCGAGTTATCTAGTTGTAGCATTAACCTCACGATATGCATGTATAGATTATTTCACATTGTGCTACCGATCACATGTTTAACTCATAACTTTTCATTATTTCTTTTGAGAAAAATATCGACAGCTAAAATTTTCCAATCTCCATTAAAAAATGGTACAATTAAATAAAATAGGTGATTAAGAAAATGGTACATTTAGTGCCCCATATGACAAATAAAAATTTTTCATGGTACAAAAGTCTACTCTAAAAAAAATTGTACAAGTACCATGAAAATGGTACGTTTGGCAGCACTGGTACCAGTATACAATACTCTCTAAAATATTATTCACCACCATCATTCTACGATAATAAGAGATTTTAGAGTGGGAAAAGAACAAAAAGAGAAAGAATAATAATAATTTCCATCAAACGCATAAAAAGATTATTCTAATTATAGTATTATTCTTTCAAAAGGGATAACAACGGGAAATTTTGATACCTAAAGTACAAAAAATGAAAACAAAAACAATAATATAATATTTTGTGGATGTGGTGAAGAAGTTTTTTTTTTTTTTTAGAAAAAATCCTGTCATATTTTTCTCCATAATCCTTGGTAAAGATAGAGATTTATTTTTGAAAGTAAACATGAAATTTATAATTTTTTACATTTTCTTTTTTCATATTGATTCAAAAGAGAAATGAAAGAGATAGAGAGAGAGAAAAAAAAATTAAATGAAATGAAAATATCAAGGAAGAAAAATCATTAAAACCTCTAGATCTCCCACAAAATCCTCTAACATACTTTTAGGGTCGTTTATTATAAAGTTTGGTTTTTTTATATGTGGCGGGGAATTAGTTTTTTTTTTTTTCATTTTTTCTTCTCTCTCTCCCTCTTTGTCTTTCTTTATGCTTTATTTTGGTTTTTTTGGTTTTCTTTATTTTGTTAATCGAAGAAAGTTAAAAGAAAAGAACAAAAACAAGAATTAGTTGAACGAAAAGGTCAAAGGAAAGTTAAGTTGAAATTGATGTTTTGTTTTTTTTTTTTGTATTTCGCCCTTCATGATTAAGAGTAATTGTTTTAAATGAAATCCAGATGGTTATGAAGAATATTAAAAGTCTAAAATTTAAAAAGATGCTTTAAAGAAGAGCCCCCCCCCCCCCTCCCTCAATCCCCTGCTTAGTTCTTTTTGAAATGAACTTAAAATCATATGATTTTTAATAATTTATTTTTAGAAAGCTTATGTTTAAACAAGTACCATAAATTTTTAATTTTATTTCTTCTGCGCCCTATTTTAATTTTTGTAATTACGAACTCAACTCTTAAAATTCAAATGTTTTGGTTTTTAATTTACGCATTTGGGATTTTCATTTTTTATTCAATGGAAAAATAGAATAACAAAATTTACTCTGAATTTGTTACACCGCTTTTTATACCCTGCACTTCGTGAAGGGTATATTAACTTTGGTATGGAGTTTGTAACTACTTG